AGTGTGTATTCACAGGTAGTAGTGTGTATTCACAGGCAGGAGTGTGTCGCTCGCTGCATTCTTCCTCTCGTTCCTCTTTTAACACAAATGATGGATCTCCCAGTTCCTCATTAAGTCCTCACTCTGTGTCAGACTCTGTTTTTGTTTTTCATCTCTGCCTCTTCCTTCGGAGGTTCTGACTCTGCGGCTCCGTCCAGTTCTGGGTCCACGGCTCCGTCCTCCACCTTAAACTGAAGCTACAGCTTCACATTCAGAAATCACCTCCTTGTTTTGACTCAAACACACTAAAACTGACTAAACATGGAACTACAAACTAATTATAAAATCAAAACACATCAAATCTCATGACTCCCCCCTTCTCTAGCTGTGTCTCCATCACCGCAGAACTTCCTTCAACTTCAGCATCTTTGTCTTCTTCTTCCTGTAGATTTTTTGTGCTTGACAAAGCACTTTGAGCCCAGTCAGAAAGGAGGGGGGAGTTATTTCTGTGTTCAGTTGGGGTGGGGCTGAGAATGGAGGGGGGTGGGGCTTTTTTCTCCATGAGTCTGCCTGTCTGTGCACAGCATGAGTCTGCTGCATGATCTGGTCCCTGCGTGGCATCACACCCCACGCATGGACGTGACTGAAACAGCTCGAGATCGTCACAGAAACGTTGTTATATTTCAAACCTGCTGGCGTTGCTGCTCAGAGGTTGTGATGGACTGGTGGCGTGCTCAGGATGTGCCCCGCCCCTCACACAGCGCCTGCATCAGCTCCGTGCAACAGGATATTTCCATGTGCAAACGGTGCCGTGGCTCTACAGAAGTTAAAAACTACGCCGAGAGACAAAACTCGAGCTTTTTGGACACTTGTTCTAATTGTTGAGATGTTTGTCAAAGGGTGCCATAAATAGTCTGCATCTGTTGACAGGTCAGTTTTTGTAAATGAGCTCATATTATTCTGATTCTCTGTAACCAGATTGTTTTATGACTGGCAGTGTTCATAAATCTGCATTAAATCTGATGAGCAGGAGACGTGCTGTGGTTTCAGAAGTGATTTGCTGCTCCTTCCATGGAGCCAACAAGCGTCTGTCTAAAAATAGCAGTTTTGTTGTTGTTTTAGTAAAATGTGAAGTCACCCTGCAGCTGCGAGGCTTGCTCATACCAGTGGTGCTGTGCAAAGCGAGCAGCTTTCCGTGGTTTTCATCAGCTGAAAAACACTTTGGTTTAATAAAATGCCTCCCACCGGGGGAATGATGGAGCCTACATCTTTCATAGTTTTGCAACAATTAGACCAAACATGATGTAATGGGCTGCGTTACATAAGTCGAGATGTTTCTAACTTATTCATGATGCAGAAACAGAAGACGTGCAGCTGTTTGGAACTTCGTGAACATTTGAGGATCACAGCTCACAAGTGTTGGTAAAATCCTGAATATGAGGCAGAGCGCAGGCTGTAAATACAACCTGTCCGTTATATAAATACTGATTCACAGCAACTTTTACCACCTCTGACTCACAAAACATGTAGTTCACCTATTTCCAGTCCCAGTCCCTGAAACACCCTCACTGGTCCCACTCTGGGCCCTGAACCCCCACCATCTGCTCCCAAACAGGGCTCTCATGAAAATGAGTCCTTGTGACTCGGTGAGACTACCTGCGTCAATAAAGGTTAAATAAAAACCTTCTCTAAATCCACGTACTTGTGACATGTTTGTGTAATGCTTACTCTTTATAATTTAATTCACGAGCTGTTCTGGTGACAGGAAACGAGACCCACAGACGGGCCAAAACATGATCGCCCGCTGCTGAAAGGCAAAGGGCAGAACTTTGTTTGCTGCCGTGTTGTTCATGAAAGAGTTTCATCTTTAGTGGTTTTAGCAGATAGTCTTCTCACGTTGTATTAAAGTCGGTCTCCTGCTTGACTTTGAGGTCTATTTATAGACCGCTCCTGAGGCAGTCACGTGCCTCTGAGTGCTTTACGTCGTCCTGCTGCCCCCTGGTGGTGAAGCTGCACCCTGAGCTGTGACGTCAGAGCTCCAGATTATTGTCTGAAGTCATGGTTCTGAAACGTCTTCACACGGCCTGTCGGCGTCCCGTCTGCTTCTCTCTGTAGCCCCGAGTTGGACGAGCGAGGACAATCTGCTCTTTCTGACGAGTTGTGAGGGAAAGGGTTTTGTTCTGAGCTCTGAGAGCCCGTGGTGGACACGATGTCTGGGCAGAAGGGACACGTGGTGCTCGGTCTGAAGCGGTGGCAGTCTCTTCTTGAAGAATTTGCAAATGCCAAACAAAGTTTACTGTCTCAGTCTGTACGACAGAAATGTCTGGACCCTGTGAGGGAAGAGTGGAGACCCCAGGAAGAGAGGCTTCCCAGGAGTCTGTCCTGAACGTCTTGTCAACAAGAGCAGACTTCACCTCTCATGGAGTATAAATCCAGTTTAGATAATTATGAATTAAACTGTCTAAATGTGCACGTCCCATTAAACTCGTTGATGTCCTCCTACAATGTGTCCTTCCTGCTGTTCTATAATTCTTCTGCTCCTCCTTGGACTGCCTGGCTCCAGCAGAACCTCTTCTCCCACTGGGAGCATTCAACCCATTTCTGATCGAGACCTCAGACTTTAGGAGTTAACTCTCATCCCAGCTGCTTCACTCTTGGCTGCAAACCTCCTCACTGAAGGTCTTGGCCTGAAGATGCCAACAGAACCACATCATCTGCATAAATCAGTGATGAGACCCTGAGGTTCCCAAACCAGACACCCTCCTCTCCACGACTGCATCTCGAGATCCTGTCCATGGATGCCACAAACAAGATCGGAGACGAGGAACAGCCCTGGCAGAGTCCACGCACTCGACTTTGGGCCGACAATGCAGACGCAGTTCCTGCTTTGGTTCTACAGCTAGTAGATTAAAGTAGATTAAAGAGGCAAGCTCCCATGACCCCTTAGCAACTTCACAAAGGTGAAGATCTGGTCCACAACCAGGACAAAAGCCACAGTGCTCCTCCTGAATTGGAGGTTCAACAATTGGTCAGAGTCTCTCTTCCAACACCCTGGAGGGTGGGCGAATTGTGATCCCACGATAATTGGAACACATGCCCTGGTGGTCCCTTTTTTGTAAATGGGAACCACCACCCCGGTCTGTCACTCCTCAAGAATTGTCCCAGTCCTCCATGCAACATTGAAGAGACGTGTCAACCATGACAGCCCCACAACATCCAGTCTTCAGCATCTTGGGGCGACTCTCATCCACCCCTGGTGCCCTGCCACCGAGGAGCATTTGACTACCTCTGTGTCCTCTGCCATGGTAATGGACTCATCTTCCCCGAGTCCTCAGACTCTGCCTCCTGAAAGGTGGACATGGTGGGTGGATTAAGGAGATCCTTGAAGTGCTCCTTCCACCGCTCAACAATATTCTCAATCCGGGTCAGCAATCCCCTGTCCAGACCAAGCAGAACCTGGGGGGGCACTTTCCTTTTCTGAGTTGCAGAACGGTTTGCCTGGCGAGTTCCCAACCTTTCTGGAGCTGGCGTTGTGTGAACGTGTTGGAGAAATGTAACGGCTGTGACTGAAACATTAAGCTTCCTGTTGTGTTTGTGGCGCAGCACCTAAAGGTGTCCCCTCTCCTCTTTGTTCCCTCAGTGAGGAGCTGAAGCTGGCCTCCCAGAAGTCTCAGCATGCTGACCAGGTACTGAGAAAAGGATCAGAGCTGGTTGAGTTTGTAAGGACAGAAACAGTGATTTGATCAATGATGATGCTGGAGAGAGGATTCCTGCTGTGGCTCTTTCACGCTGGTTGACCTTGACTTAAACACGTCTGTTTGTGTGGCTGTTTGCCTTGCAGCACAATGAAGAGCACAACGGTCAGCAGGTGGACATCAAGAGCAGGTGAGGAACCAGAGAACATCTCCTCCTTCATATGACTGTAGGACTTGTTAACTTTCTGTCAGATGTGTGATATGATCTAAATCTGTCCATCATCAACTACCATGTTAGTTGATGATGGACAGATTTAGATAGATATGCCACCCAGCTGACTGTAGGTTACTTTTAAGGAGGAGCAGACCAGGCAGTCCTCACTCTCCTTACAACCATAGAAGAAAGCAAAGTCACACCTTTAGGATGACTTTGCTTTAAAACAAGGAGTTTTTCAAAACTTTTGATAAGAATTGAAGCAGATCAGAGCAGCTCTGGGCTGAAATTAAATCTGCAGATAAAATGGTAAAATGATAAAAGAGAAACATGGCGTCTTTCTGAAATGATGTTCTGACATCGCAACAAGCAGTTGGTTCGTTAGCAGAAGCTGCAGGTCGAATGTATTTATTCAGATAAGACTGAAAGTGCATGAAAGAGGAGACGAGGGAAATTGTTTGAACTCTTCCTCTCAAACCTGGATCATGTCTGTTCTGGATTATGTGCAGCTTCAATGTTTTATAAAACCTTTTTTAATTTTCCAGAGACACCTTCTGTAATCAAGACACAGAGGGGGACATAAACCACCAGAAATCCACCGGAGCTTTCTCCTCAGACAAAGACCGAGAACTGGAAACTCTGCGAAATGAGGTACCGTCACTCACACCGTGTCTGTAAACTGCTTAAATCTCAGCTCTGTGGCCTTTAATCTCCTTCATCCTGTTTAATCTCAGATTGGTACGGTCTTTAAACGTCTTTGATCCAGTTTAATCTCAGCTCTGAATGTTGAGACGGCTTCCAGTGAGTCTGCTAAAAACAAGTCTGTTAGGTCTGGCTGAAGAGCCTCTAGACCTTGGACCAGATCTGGACAACCTGGAGTATCTCAACTTGAGTCGAGGTCAAAATTTCATTGTCATTCTCACCACATGTGGTACATGTGATGGAACAAAATTGTGTACGCAGGGTCCCAGTTACATCCAACAAAAGTATAAATTGTAAAGAAAAACAGTAAAAGATCAAAGATATGAACTAAGAAATCCATTAAACTAAGAACACACTAAGCACTAGTGGTACAGAAACAACACGCCGAACAGCAGCAGCACGAACACGAGTCTGTGTGAGCAAACGAGTAGGAATGAACACAGCAACATGACATAGATCAGCAGCATGAGATCAGCAGCATGAGATCAGCAGCATGAGATCAGCAGCATGAGATCAGCAGCATGAGATCAGCAGCACATATCAACAATCAAGTGGCATCACAGTGATTCTCCTGGTTAGTGATTCATGAGTCTAACAGCCTCAGGGTAGAAGCTGTTCCTCAGTCTAGTGGTTCTACACTTAATGCTCCTCAACCTCCTTCCTGAGGGGAGTGGGGCAAAAAGTGTGTGTGCTGGGTGAGTGTGGTCCTTCATGATGCAGGTGGCCCTCTTCCTGCATCTGGAGGTGTAGATGTCTGTGATGGTGGGGAGGCTGATTCCGACAGATTTCTGTGCAGCCTTCACCACTCTCTGCAAAGCTTTTCTTTCTGCAGCTGTGCAGCCTCCATGCCACACGTTGATGCTGGAGCACAGGATGCTCTCCACTGCACACCTGTAGAAGGAGGTGAGGACTGAGCTTCCAGACCAGCTCGCCTCAGCCGTCTGAGGAAGTAGAGTCTCTGATGATCTTTCTTCATCAGGCTGGTGGTGTTGTTGCTCCAGCTGAGGTTGTTGTTCAGGTGCACACCCAAGTACTTGTAGCTGGAGACCACTTCCACCACAGATTCAACAATATTCCAGTGGATTAAAAATGACGTGGCAGCTGGAAGGAAAAGTCGCTCTGTGAATTGGAACCATTTCTGATCTTCAGAGCGCCACTAACGAGCATACACATTAACCCTTCGAAGACCTTATGGGGAGAAATCTTGCACATTTATTTTTGTTTGTGCTTTTATTTATTTATTTTGTTGCAGTCATAAATCAATTTATTTCTGCCAAAGCCTAAAAGTCCTCACTCATCCTCCTGCAGCGCTGGTTGTGATTAAAATACACACATTTTAAGCATCAACACTGCTTTCCTGTTTCACTTTAATTTTATAATAGTTATGTTTTTTGACTCGTACCATGTTCTGCAGTTTTTGCCTTGTTTCAACAAAATATCAAAACCTTCAGCTCCTTTTTATGCTTTTTGTTTGCATTTCACTTTCTGGCTCTATTTTAGCGTATTCTCACTTTTTTCCTTTTTGCTAGATTTTCAGTTCTTACAGCTATTAGCTAACCTTTTTCTGTGTTTGGCTAGCCTTTTGGTATTTATGATTTTTTTATACTTTAGTTTATTTTATTTTTTTGCTGATTACTGATTTTTCTGCTCATTTGAGTTTTTGATGCAAATGTAAACATTTTCTGCAGTTTTGTAGTTTTTTCTGTTGTTTGCGTTTTGTGCTTCTTGCAGCTTCATATTTTCACATACTGATGTATTTCAGAAGCTGCTTTTTAAGCAGTTTTCAGCAAAATCATTCAGCAATAAACTAGAGCCCTGACCAATATGGAAATATTGGCTGTCGTCGATACCGATATTGGGAGGGTGAGGCTATTGTCGATAACCGATATAATGACTGAAAATGTTTTAACTTTGTCCACCCCCAAGAATCTAAGTCAGCAGCTACTTTTAAACTGTTTTAACTTTTGAAGTCTTGAAACAGCCATCACCGATACGATATGTCCCCAAACATCTATATCAGCGTAAAATATCAGCCCTACCGATATATCGGCCTAAAATATCGGCCCTACCGATATATCGGCCTAAAATATCGGCCCTACCGATATATTGGCCTAAAATATCGGCC